ATGGTTTCCAACAGAAGGAAAAAAGACAGAGCTGTGTTTCTTGACTACTGTCTGGCACATTGGCCTGTTGATCATGTTGTCAAAGATGTCACCCCGATGGGTGTTATAGCTACAGAAATGATCTTTTGAAACAGACAATTTCAGGTGATGCTAGGAAATAAACTGAGCACACAGAGGATCCAGAAGAACAGATTCCCTCAGGGATCTGTTTTTGCCCTACCTTTTTCAATATATTTACAGAAAGATCTGCCTCCAACAATCTCCAAGCCATTTAAGTATGTGGATGACATCTGCCTAGCTTCAAGAGACAGGGACTTCAAAAAGACTAAGGACAATCTGAACCAAAATATGGAAGCTATCAGTGGCTACTTCAATAATTGGTGTCTTAAACACAGTGTGTCAAAGACAGCGTCCTCATGTTTTCACCTCAGAGGATTCAATATCTTGAATGGAGAATGATTAGCACATGACCCAAAGCCAATATATCTAGGTGTAAGAGAAGGTTACTCACCTTGTGCAGTAACTGAGGTTCTTCGAGATGTGTTCCTTTGTGAGTGCTCCATTTTAGGTGATTGTGCACCCTGTGCCTCTAGTCAGAGAATTTCAACAGCAGTACCCAACTAGGCCACACATTCGCTCTCCCCATCTCACACCTGTGATGGTAGTTGATTAGCACTGTGCGGCCTCCCCACCTCTCAGTTCCTTCTCTACTGCAGAGTATTGATGAGAACTCTGAAGTGGAGGTGAGGAGGGAGGGTAGTGGAGCACTCACAGGGACACACATCTCGAAGAACCTTAGTTACTGCACAAGGTGAGTAACTCTCTCTTCTTCAAGTGATGTCCCTGTGGGTGCTCCACTTTAGGTGACTGTGCCCCTTGGTGGGAGGAGGGATTCAGAGTTGGTTATGAATAGACAAGAGGACAATGTGTCCCAGCCATGTGTCAGAAGCTTAGGCCTCATCAATGACGTAGTGTTGTATGAATGTGGGAGGTGATGTCCAACTAGATGTTTTGCAAATGTTGATAATAGTCATGTTGTTCAGGAAGGCAACCAGTGTGGCTACAGATCTCGTGAAGTGTGTTCTAACCCATGGGGGGAGGGGTTGTAGGTCATGTTGTCAGTAACAGAGGTAGATGCAATCTGAAATTCATCTGGAAAGTCTCTGCTTAGCAATGGGTTGCCTTTGGAACATTCCGTGGTGGAGAGGAACAATTTAGGAGTTTTCCTGAACAACTTCGTCTGTTCAAGATAAAAGGCTAGCATTGTTCTGATGTCCAGGGTGTGGAAAATTGCCTCTTGTCTATCCTTGTGAGGTTTAGGGAAGAACGTGGGAAGATGACTAGGTTGATGAATGTGGAAGGAAGAAGAAACTTCAAGCAAAACTTTAGGGTGAGGTCTGAGAGTGACCTGCCATAAGAGCCCCTATTTCTCCCACATGTCTAGCGGACATGATGGCAGCTAGGAAGGCTACTTTCATGGAAAGATGTAGAAGAGAACATATGGCCAAAAGTTCGAATGGGGCAGTTGTGAGAGATCGAAGCAACGAAGTCAGGTCCCACAGGGACATTGGGGGCTCTGGGTTCTGGGTAGAGGCTGCACACTCCCTGGAGGAATCTTGGTAATTGGGTGAGCAAATTGGGTTATCATAAGAGGTGGTTCTAGAGCAATGCTGTTGCCCCGTTCATTAACTCCATTGACTACTGATGAATTTGGCTGAGGGTGTGTGAATAGGAATTCCATCCCTTTTGAAGGGACATAATATTTTTTGTCCTCCCTCTTACATGTGGGTGGGATGGTAGCGGGTGAAAGATGATTGTGGCAGGTTCCATGAATGCTGTGTTAATCAGGAGGGCAATCTTGGAGGAGGCGGACGTGTGGAGTATGTCCAAGAGCTCGTGATGTGACTTAGAGATCTCCTCTAGGGGTATCTGGGATGTGTCTGCTATTCTTTTGAAGAGTTCTTGGAAATTTCTGAAATCATCTCCAGCAGTAGGCAGAGGGGGCACAATAGTCTCGTCTGGCGAGAATGAAGTGGTGGTAGCAGGAGCTGCCTCCTGATCTAAGACTACTTCTATCTCCTCAAAGGTCTGTTCGGGAGGAGTATCTGTTGGCACTGTGAGTTTTGGTGAAGAGTGCCTATGTACCTTCGTGGTGCCACTCAGGTTTGGGGCAATACTGTCTATAAGCTGCCTGCGGGTCCCAGAATGCCCACTGACGTGGGAAGGGCATAGGCTCAGGCCCTGACAGGTGACCGTACCATCCCTGAAAATCAGGCTGCGACACATGTTTAGGGTGCTCCTGATGTGCAGACCAAACACTGCCTTGTATAGGTGAAGAGTGTTGGGAGGAGAAAGCCTCCCCTTCCTCATCCCCCTCACTACAGAAAGGAGGGGCAGATCTAGTTGGTGGCGTGAGTGGCCGTGAAAGTACCAAAGCACTATCAGTACCGAGGAGAGGTGTTTCTGGTACTGGGGCAATCGTCAGGTCCTTTGGTGCAAGAAACTGTTGAGGTTGCAGTACTGATGAAGGTATCTGTGTGGAAGGCGGTATGGAGAATTGTGGATGTACTGGGAGACAACGAGGTACCAATGGGAACGGAGCCGGTGTAGACCATGCAGAGGATGGCATGGTAATCTGTGGTGCAGTATCTATGCTGTGCATCATAGAGCCAAGAGGTGACGTTGTCTGTAGCATGCAGAGTCGCTCGGTACCGAGCGCTTTGTCCATGCTATTGTGCTGAAGTGGAGGGGGCAGTCTTCTCTGCCCTCTTCTTAGAGCCTGCCTGCTTAGGGTCTGTGGCTTTGACAGAAGCGCCGGGAACGGCGGTCCCTGCTGACTCAGAGGTACTAAGCTGCGGCGTGGTCGGTACCGATGTAGTGGACAGAGTCAGGGAACGCTTCCTCTGACACAATCTTGGTAGGGGGAGTGTTAGCTCTCCTCTGTCCCCGTCGTTTAGGAGACAGGTTCCTTCCTTGCAGGGTAGAGGAGAGGGAACTGTCAGAAACCGCATGCGGTGATAGGGCGACAGGAGAAGTTTGAGATTCCGAGCGGGAAGAAGGGACTTCTCCGTCAGGATAAATTTTGGTTTAAGGTCCCTCACTTCCCTTGTCTGGGCCTTAAGACTGTGGCACTGTGTGCACTTTTGGGGTACATGAGTTTCCCCCAGGCACCGGACACATTGCAAGCGTCCGTTGGAGATTGGAATTGCCTCGTGACAGGAGAGGCAGCATTTAAAGCCAGGAGACCCTGGCATTCTGAGGAAAAATAATGTCCCTTAAGGGGGTGAAATGAAAGATTTTTTTTTTAAATGCGGAGAAAAGTAGTAAAGGGGTCTTAATCAAAAAACCTAATTACACTATACTAATTGACTAATCTAACTAAACTAATTCTGAGGTAAAGTGAGCGAAAGCACTGCCAGAGCTCCGACTAGGGACCAAGGGCAACTGAGAAGGAACTGAGAAGGGTGGTTGCCTGACACTGCTAATCAACTGCCGCCACAGGCGAGAGCCGGAGAGAGCGCATGTGCAGCCTGGCCAGATACTGCTGTCAAAGTTCTCCGACTAGAGGCTCAGAGCGCACAATCACCTGAAGTGGAGCTCCCACAGGGTCATCACTCAAAGAAGAACTCAAGGTTGTACACTTAAGTACCTAAAAGGACACTTCACCAAGGTAGTTCAGGAGATTAAGAACTGAAATGGCCTTCTAAATAAGCTAGTAGGCTCAACTGGGGGAGTTAAAGTGCAAACACTCTGCTACTCAGTTGGAGAACAACAACAGGAACAATAAGACCAAAAAACACCAAGTGGTTACCAGTCCTTTTTAATATCCCACCTCCTAACATCAGGTGTTGTATTGCAGCAAAAATACAGGAGATGCCACAACTACCACTTTAAAAAAAAGATACATGAGAGGTGCATTGCCGCCGACTCATCAGCACATGACCAATGTGGAGTATGTTAGCGACCATCTCTACAGCGGATGCTGTCACATTATGGTGAGCGGAATGGGAATGAGCTGCTCTCTGTCAGACTCCATCACCACTCAGCATGATGAGAGACAGTGTGGCAGCTCAATGCCAGGCAATCTCTTGTAGAAATTCAACCATTTCAGATGTGGAGTGGTGAGATGTGTGTGAAATGACCACACCTGGTGACTCAGGAACAGCCCTCTGTATTGCTGCGGTGCAGTTGAGGATGCTGCACACCTACCAAAGGCTGCTCATCTTGTGCTGGTCTATCCCTGATGCTACTGAATGGCTAAAATGTGTGTTATGTCTACTTAAACTCTTTGAAATTGTTGACTCATACATCTGTTTTATCTCCCTACTTTATATTTTGAATCTTTTCCCATTTTTATTAAGCTACTGGTACTTGTGCATTTGCTAATAACAGTGGAAATTAGTAAAAACACAACAGAAAATCCCAAACCTGTCAATACACTGAATGGTGTATGGAGAGTTACGATAACACCAAGACCAAGGATATGAATTTTGAGCCACCTCCCTATGCAATAAAAATTTGGTAGAGGGTCTTAACTCTTTATTTTCGTTGTTGCAGAGACCACAACTATCAAAACATGGATGCAAAGAAAAGAGGAAGGATGGCCTTGAGGTGAAAGAACTAGACTGGGATTCAGGAGATCTGGGTTCATGTCTCAGTTCTGCTACTGACTTTTTAATGTGATCTTGGGCAAGTCATAGTCTCTCTGGGCCTTGATTCCACAGAATAATATTTTCCCTTTTTTTGTCTTGCCAATTTAAATAAACTCTTTCAAGCAGGAACTCTCTCATTATATATCTGTATAAAGCCTAGCACAATGAAGGCCTAACTTTGGATGTTGTCTCTATCTACTACTGGAATACAAACAAACAATCTATTCAATCCTCTACTGTGCACTGCAGGAAGCCAGTATAAATGGTTAAACAAATAACTGGTTTTGAAACCTAAACCTTTTATACAGGTCAGTGCATGGAACATTAAATGCTATTTAACAATCTTACCTTGCAATAGCCCTGATGAAGTCTAGAGAGACTGTACATTTGTACTTTGGTCCATCAAGCTTGTCATCATGGCCAACCAAGGTCAAAAGCTGGAGTGTCACAAGAGAGGTGATCTAGAAACAAGAGACATCACTGAAACATTACTCACTTTTGCAAACAGGAATAACAATGACCAAATTTTCATTTGTCACCAACATAACTTTTGCAAGGCCACCAAATGTCCAATATTTCATAAGGAAGTTCTACATTTGGCAATACTGTCCCACTGTTCTGAAACCAGCTGATCCAGAAGGGTGTAAATTCACATGACCAGTTCTGCAGCAGGAGCAGCCTTATGCATAGGTTGAAACCTAGGGCACTTCATATCAGAAGTTACCCTGAAATTCTTCTTAAATACCTCTACAGTTCCGTTATCTCCCTGCATTGGCACTTTCTAAGTCTTGACAGCCACCTGAGACATACATCAAGTTCACGTCCCTCACATGTGGAGACCACCTTTTCGAATCGTCATACTCAGAGTTTTATACCCCAGAGCCCATTGTGCCAGATTAGACCACATTTCAAAAACTCATTGAATCACCCTACCCTGCCATGAGAAAGAAGCCCCAAGGTTGGAAGGCAGGATGAAGGGTCCTAAAGATCATGTGCTAAGCCAAAAACCCATCCCTTGGGGAGTGGACCAGGAAGGAAAGAGAGAGGTATGTATGTGTGTGTGCACACATGTATAGACACTCGCACACACACACTATCTTGAGAGATCAACCAATGTGTACAGATAGACATTTCTCTCTCTTTTCCTTCTTCCAAAAGATGATCTCTTAGCAGAGTTAGATATGTATGTATCAATACATACATATATATACACACACATGCACACTCAATGCCATTAAAGTCTTGATAGTTTCCACACTGTAGTATTGAGGGTATACACCATATTAAACACAGGGAATACACTTTGCTACTTACTTTAAATGGTGCCCAAGCACACACTAAAAATAAAAGAAAGGAATGAGTATGGAGACCCTAGAAAAAGTGTGAATGGTGAGAAACAAACGAGAGAGAGAGAGAGAGAGAGAAAGAAAATGACAGAAAGGCGGAAGTACAAATGTAGAGATATAGGAAAAGAGTGAAGCTGGGAGATACAGAAATAGAAGGGAAAAAGACACAAGAAATACAATATGAAAATACATTTAGTTTAATAGAACTCCTGAAGGCTAATCTGTGTTAAGTGTGTCCCTCAAGGGTGATTTTTATTATTATTATTATCATCATCTGTAGTAATAAATATTTATACTGTATTATACCAGCACCCAAAGACTGCAGTCAGGATTTAGGTCCAGTTGTGCTGGACACTGTACAGATACAGAAAAGAGACAATCCATACCATAAAGGGTTTATAGGCTAAAGCCAAACTGTTATTTACAGGGTTTATTTTTAAATTGTCCACATTGGTGGCTATTTTCTCCTTCTGACTCCAAGATTGAGGGTGGGATGCCAAAAAGTTCTTTGCCAAAGGCATCTCTGAACTTGGTGTGGTGTGCAGGTGAGTTCACTGATCAGTGTCCCACTAGCTCTGCTTGCCACTGCAGAGCAAGCTGGGTACTAGTCATAAGAGGAAAGCTTTTTGCTCAGAGCACAATGGACTTTGTAGCAACTAGCCACCAGGACTCTGCTGGGGGAAAAGGAAGAAATGAAGGCCCCATTATCCCCAACTCCATCATCTGGAATGACAAGAGGATGACAGACAAAGACAAAACTATGCCACCATCTTTAGCCCGCACACCATTACTGGCTGCTCAAGCTTTGTCTTTGTCTGGCTCCTTACTGTCACAGTTACTCCTGGGGGAATTCTGTGCCAAAATATTAAAAATTCTGCATATTTTGTCAAAATAACACAACATAATCACTCCAGTTTCATTATGTTGGTAATTTATTTCAAAATAGCTGTCAACAAGTGTGTCAACAATACAGACAACAGCAAAAAAGATTCCCCCAGGAGTAGAGAGTTAAAAAAATCCCTAACAAACCAGTTCCAGTTGGGGAGTGCTGGAGTGGGCTGTCTGGGGCCCCCAGAGCCCAGACACCCGCACTTCCATCCCCCCCCATCCCAGCTGCAGGGCACCCTCTGGCCCAGACACCCAGACCCCTTTTCCCCCAGAGCCAAGCCATGGGGCACCCCCTGGCCCAAACATCAGTCTCCCCCTCCCATACACCAGCCCTCCTCCCCAGAGCCCAGCCGTGAGGCAGCCACCAGCCCTCCTCTCCCCACAGAGCCCAGCCGTGGGGCAGACAAAGGTTGAAGGGAAAGGAGGACATTGGTGAAGATACATACATTAAGAGTATAGCAGTAGGAATATATTACTGACCACCTGACCAGGATGGTGATGATGACTGAAATGCTTCAGGGAGATTAGAGAGGCTACAAAAACAGAAAACCCAATAATAATGGGGGATTTCAGCTATCCCCCTATGTCACCTCAGGAAGATGTCAAGCTGTCTGGAGGGGCTCAAGAGCATGAGTACCAACTTCAAGGCAGACCATTAAGAAAGAGGGCACAAACCCCTTACTGATTGTGAGTTCTATACTTAAATTTCACCAACCAAATAACAAGTGTAAACTCCTCAGGCACTATAACAGCCTGACGGAGTCACAGACAGTCCCCTGGGTAATCCAGTCTATCTTGCCACCTACACATGCTTGCCTCTGTAACAGATGGTCCCTTACACCAGATACTCTCAACAACGTTTAGATTACTTCCAATCCCAAAGGACCTGTCACTTACCACAGGTCAATTGCACTTTAGATTTTACACCGAAGACAATGCTTGTAGCCAATCCTATAATATACTAACTAAAGATTTATTTACCAAGGAAAAGGTTATTTACAAGGTTAAAGCAGGTAAACATACATACATAAATGAGTTACACTCTTAGGTTCCAAAAGGAGATAGAAACTTCTGTAATATGCAAGCTCTATATGTCCTTTAGAGCTAACCTAGGCTAAGCAGCTGGGGATCCCATCCTTATGCTTAGAAAACTTGCCCTTCCAAAAGTCCAAGCAAAACAGAGATACAGTTTCTTCTCGTCAGGATTTTTATCTTCCCTCCAGGGTTTAAGCGATGGGATGAGTTCACCCGCATATCTCCTCTTCTTGGAGGGGAGTGCAGTGGAAGACAATTAATAAAAGTCTTTGTTCTTTGATGTTTCACAATGTCTCATTTCGTTTCAATGGGCCTTCTTGGTGGGCAGGACCTAACACCCTCTGTAGGAAGCCAGCATTTTACAATAATTAATGCTCCTTTCCTGCTTGATGACTTACACAATCACAGAGGATTACAATGCAAACACTTAATATCACTTTATAATATGAGGTGCAGATGTTATAAGTGAGATTAATATATGCAGTAGGGCTGTGAAACGATTACAAAAATTAATCATGATTAATTGAAGTTTTAATCAAATCATTAAATAATAGGTACTATTTATTTAAATATTTGTGGATGTTTTCTACATTTTCAAATATATTGATTTCAATTACAGCACAGAGTAAAAAGTGTACAGTGCTCACTTTATATTATTATGGATTACAAATACATGCACTGTAAAAAAAACAAAATAAGTATTTTTCAAGTCACCTCATAAGTACTGTAGTGCAATCTCTATCATGAAAGTGCAACTTACAAATCTAGAATTTTTTTTATATATAACTGCACTCAAAAATAAACCAATGTAAAACTTGAGAGCCTACAAGTCCACTCAGTCCTAACTTCTTGTTCAGCCAATCATTAAGACAAACAAGTTTGTTTACATTTATGGGAGATAATGCTGCCCGCTTATTATTTACAATGTCACCTGAAAGTGAGAACAGGCATTCCCATGGCACTGTTGTAGCTGGCGTTGCAAGGTATTTACATGCCAGATATGCTAAACATTTGAATGCCCCTTCATGCTTCAACCACAATTTCAAAGAACATGCTTCCATGCTGATGATGGGTTCTGCTCGATAACGATCCAAAGCAGTGTGGACTGACGCACATTCATTTTCATCATGTAAGTCAGATGCCACCAACAGAAGGTTGATTTTCTTTTTTGGTGGTGCGTTTTGTAGTTTCTGCACCAGAGTGATGCTCTTTTAAGACTTCTGTCTGCATGTTCAACACCTCAACCCTCTCAGATTTTGGAAGGCACTTCAGATTCTTAAACCTTGGGTCGAGTGCTGTAGCTATCTTTGGAAATCTCACATTGGTATCTTCTCTGTGTTTTGTCAAATCTGCAGGGAAAGTGTTCTTAAATCAAACAACATGTGCTGGGTCGTCATCCGAGACTGCCATAACATGAAATATATGGCAGGATGAGAGTAAAACCACAGAGAAGGAGACATACAATTCTCTCCAAAGAAGTTCAGTCACAAATTTAAGTAATGCATTAATTTTTTAACAAGCGTCAGCAACGTGGAAGCATGTCCTCTGGAATGGTGGCCTAAGTGTGAAGGGGCATACGAATGTTTAGCACATCTGGCATGTAAATACCTTGCAGCACTGGCTACAAAAGTGCCATGCCAATGCTGTTCTCACTTTCAGGTGACACTGTAAATAAGAAGCGGACAGCATTAACTCCCATAAATGTAAACAAACTTGTTTGTCTTAGTGATTGGCTGAACAAGAAGTTAGACTGAATGGACTTGTAGGCTCCAAAGTTTTACATTGTTTTGTTTTTGAGTGCAGTTATGTAATAAAAAAAATCTACATTTGTAAGTTGAACTCTCACAATAAAGAGATTTCACTACAGTACTTGTATGAGGTGAACTGAAAAATACTTATTTTGTTTTATTTTACAGTGCAAATATTTGTAATATAAAAACAGAGTGAGCACTGTACACTTTATATTCTGTGTAGTAACTGAAATCAATATATTTGAAAATGTAGAAAAACATCCAAAATATTCATAATAAATTTCAATTAGTATTCTCTTATTGTTTAATAGCAATTTTTTTTAATCTAGTTAATTTGTTTTGAGTTAATCACTTGAGTTAACTACGATTGACAGCCCTAATATGCAGCATCCTACAAGCATTTCATAAAGTATAAACACATACTTATAAACTTAGCATCTA